CACAACCCAGATGTTTGTTTCTATATGTGGCTTGGACAATTACATAGACAAATAGATCGATGAGAGGGGCAGAGAGAAGTATTATATTGCTACTGGAAATACAACGATTGATCAGCCATCTGGAGCAGGTTCAAGAAGCAGCAGCTTTTCCACAGCTGTAGCACTTCCGTGAAGATTTCTTTTCACTCTTCCGCTTGGTATGATTATGAATTTGGCTTTCAATGGACTTTTTAACCTAGCAGGACAACTGAATAGAACCTCCTGCTTAGCTCAGAAAAAGCCTACATTATTACTCCTTATTTTTCTCTCTAGACAGGGCCTGCATGTCTTAGATGTTTAGATCCCCAGCCACCTTAGGCAGCCGTTTGTCTGCAGGGAATATAGAGAGACTGTAAAATGATATTGTAACGGTTTTACATCAGATTTGCAATCTATATCTTCATTTGTCAGAAATCTGCTTTCCGGTACAATAACCAGCACATCTAGTGAGATTTTTGGATACTTTGGAGGATTTTTTCCCCCTTCTTCCCCAGTTTTTTTCCATTCTTCCCCAGGATTTTGTGCTGAAAGTTAAAACATTCAGCCACGTTGTTTCAATAAATGGAACTGCTTAAGGGAAAGCAAGGCTATTACATTCTGTATCAAACTGAAGAATGGAGATGAGAAAGGAAGAAATGCTTTCATCTCTATTTCTTGAGTAATTTTGGAGGGACTGTCGACTTATCTTTAGCATTTCCAAGCTGATTCAAGAGTTGTGACTTGTGATCATATCCCCACCTAATGGCTGATCCAAGTAATGCAGGTTACTTAGGCAGGGCACAGGACAATGCAGCTTCGCCCAAAACACGTACAGTACCCACATTTGGGGGAACAGCATTTTCTCACAAGAGTTAATGGTGGGTACCTGCCAAAAAAGGGGATCAGATATATTCATAGCTAAGTGCAAACTCTTTTGGGGGGAGTAAACTCCCAAATTCCAGTACCTGGGAGACAACTTGAGGAGAGAGATATTCCATTGAAGTCCTAATTCTAAGCTTTTTGTTGGGATTGTGATATAGGCGCCTGGCTGGCCACTATATGAAATGGATTACCAGGTGATCTGGCTCTTTGATCTGATCCAGTAGGACTCTTCATATGTTAATTGGTCTCTGGAAACAGGGCAGTATTATGCAGAGTTGGTCCTATTATGCCAACTAGTGTGTTCATCTCAGGCGAAATGGAGATGGCAGTAAGATGTTGGGAATGCCTCCTAAATTAGGATGATACCTTCAGCTGAAGTAGGGGAAACTGTTCCATCTGACAGCATTGAAGAATTATTCAACTTCCAGTCTGGTCATCTTTTGTACATAGAATGGAAAAGGATGCCATCTTGTTTTTTTTTTTTAACCTCCATTAGAAAAATAGATTGGGCTATTCTGATGGTATGCTTGCTCCAGGTTATGTACATTCACATCCTTATAGTTTCTTTTCACTAGTGCTTCTAAATCCTGTAAAAAAATTCTAATCAATACTGTGGCATTAAGTTTATATAATTGTAGAATAATGTTTATTTCATTGTATAACTTTTCACGTTCTGTATTAAAATATATGCACAGTTTTAAAACTCCGCAAAACTTGAACAGAAATTTGAGGGTGTAGCTCAGTGGCTTGGAACATCTGAGTAGAGGCTAGGAATTCACAACCACATTGCACCTCCCAGGAGAGGGACCAGGCAGGATCACCTGGTGCATGTGTCTGGAGGGGTTACATATCTTGCCCCCTGTGGGGACTTCGGCAAGTCGCATGGTGTCATACCTGCCCAGAGCACCATCACAAGAACTGGTAAACCACTTCTGAATATTTCATACATAGAAAACTCTGGATGGGTATTATGATGGAGGCTTCCCACTGCATGCATATACATGGGGTTCCCCCAAGCCACACAGATATCAAACCAACCCTGGCTAAGAACCAGAAGCCCAAATCTACTGACAGTTACTATCTTTTCCTCAGAACCAGTGGCTCCATTTCTTCCAGAGCCAATATTAGCACAGCAAGGAAGACCAAAATGCTTTTTAACCTGATAGTGTACCTGGCAGTTATCCAAGTGGCTGTGATTGAATTAGGACCACTGGGTTCCCCACCACCATGACAAAACACACCAAGGTGGAGATTGTTTTTGTTATTAAAGAATATTGATGAAAATGCCAAATTACCAAAGGAAAAATATTCTTTTTAGAATAATAAGTCAAGTATGATAAATTGGAAAAGCATCAATCACAATACATATAAGGAAATAATACCACACACACAAAATAAGAAAACTAGCTAGATTGTTCTACTTATTTGAGGGAACTAAGAATAGACGGATGTAGACAGAGTTCTGAACTTATACAAGGTGCAAATCTCACTAGCAGAATAACAGGCTAAAACTCAAGGCACTCTACTATTGCTCTTAACCATTCTTAAACTATTCTCCCTACCCAGATGACATGCATTGGCCAAGCCTGTGAGGCTTTCTCAGAACTTTCCAGAAGACAAACAGTTCTGCACATTACCCACTTTCATTTCTCACTAGAATGCAAATATGAATCATACCAAATTTAAAGCTCCTCTTTTCAGATGGATTCAGTATTACATCCTGGAGGGATGTGGAATTTGGTTTCCCCTTTTTTGGTGTAGAAAAAAGTGTGGAGAGATCTGTCCAGTGCCACCCCCTTCTTTGGAAAAGGAAAAATGATCAGTCTGGATGTTTTTAGTTAAATCCCCCACACACCGAAACTTTTACCGCAGTACATGCATCTGGGAGAGCAGAAAATGGAGGAGAGGGAAAGGTGGCTAACAGATGGGAAGTTTCAAGGACTTTGAAAGAAGGGGGCGGGAACTACAGTGGTGCCTCGCTTAACGAGTGCCCCGTTTAATGAAAAAATCGCATAACGATGGCTTCGTTGCCATCGCTTTTGCGATCGCACAACGATCTTGCCTATGGGGAAAAATCGCTTTGCGATTTTTCCCCATAGGCACCATTTTCCCCCAGCTGAGCGGCGGGAGCTTTGAAGCCCCGCTGCTCAGCTGGGGGAAAATGTCGGCAGTGGGCTGCGGCCTCGGAAGGACCCCGAAGCCACCGTTCCCTTCCGAGCTCCGGGGACAGGCTGGGGGGTGGACCGGGAAGCTTGAAGCCTCTCCGCGCCGCCTACCCCGGCCGTTCCCGGACTTCTGGAAGTCCGGGAACAGCCTGGGTAAGCAGCGCGGGAAGACAATCTTGAGTTTTCCGTTGGGAAGATGGTAGGTGTCTTGGCAGCTGGAAACCACACGTTTTTGCCTGTGCTTTTGTAACCCATCACATAATGTTTTCGAGCAATTACCAGAGGGGTAGTTTGTCTTTTGCAGAAAGGACAATAGAACTGTATTGTTGTTGTGGGTTTTTCGGGCTCTTTGGCCATGTTCTGAAGGTTGTTCTTCCTAACGTTTTGCCAGTCTCTGTGGCCGGCATCTTCAGAGGATAGCACTCTGTGCACAGAGTACAGAGTGCTGTCCTCTGAAGATGCCGGCCACAGAGACTGGCAAAACGTTAGGAAGAACAACCTTCAGAACATGGCCAAAGAGCCCGAAAAACCCACAACCACCATTAGATCCCGGCCGTGAAAGCCTTCGCAAATAGAATTGTATTGTGCTTAAAAGTATTACTAAGACCAAAAGAAACAGAAAAAACAAAACATTGTGGCACCTTAAAGACTAGCTGCTGTATTTTAATATGAGCTTTTGTGGACAAGTCCACTTCCTCAGACATCAGAGGAACTGGACTTGTTCAAGAAAATTCACATTAAAATATAGTACAGTAGCTAGTCTTTAAGGTGTCACAATGTTTTTGTCTATTTTTTATTTTGTTTTTGCTTGATATGTTACCTCTTCTAGAACTACCTGTATTATTAAGACATGCTTTCTTGGACTAGAACCCATTTCATCAGATGAAAGTTCTCAGGTACAACTATTGTTATCTGTCTATATAAATAAGAGTACATTTCTGGATGTTTCTCCCTTTGTTACTACACCATCTGAACAGTTGGAAAGATTTTCGGCAAATTTAGAAAGTTTGGGATGGTGTAACTTTTAAAAACAGGCAATGTGATACACCTGAAAAGCATTTGGGTGGACCTAAGTGGGACTTAGGGCCATGGTGGCGCTGCAGGTTAAACCGCTGAAGCCTCTGTGCTGCAAAGTCAGAAGAGTGCTGCGAGGTCAGAGTGAGCCCCCGTCGCTTGTCCCAGCTCCCACCAACCTAGCGGTTTGAAAGCATACAAAATGCAAAAATACAAGTAGATAAATAAGTACCACCTCAGTGGGAAGGTAAACGGCGTTCTGTGTCTAGTCACGCTGGCCACGTGGCCATGGAGTATTGTCTGCAGACAAAAGCTAGCTCTATGGGTAGGAAACGGAGATGAGCACCACCCCCTGGAGTGGGACATGACTCGACAAATTGTCAAGGGGAACCTTTACCTAAGTGGAACTATCATCAAGTAGGTAGATTTTCACTACAAGGTGTTTGTAGACACATCATTCTACAGATTTCAAGGAATTCAGAAAACCACATTATTTTCAATGACGCTTTAATTTTCCTTGATGTTTGATCTTCACTAATGTTTCATTCACCAGGAGCCAAGCTGGCTGGGGGATTCTGGAAATTGTACTCTTTGGGTGAGCTGAATGAGTACCAAGATGGAGAGAGAGAGAGAAAGAGACAGAGCAAAAGAAGCCGGAATGCGCAGAGCAGAGAGGGGGCGACCACGGGATTTCAGCCCTAGCTAAACCGAGGCCACGGGCTCGTTGCTAATCGTAATAAGCAGCAGCAGAAAAGAGTGGAAACGTCCCCTTTCCTCCTTTCCCAAAGGGAGACAGCAAGAGGCCCGGCCTCTCTTCGCCTTCAGCAAATATGGCGCCGAGAGCGAAGGAACATAGCTTCGCCTCGTCAGGGGGAAGCCGCTGCCCTCCTCAAAGATGGCGGACGCGACACGTCAAAGGCAGGGCAAAGGCGGCCAGTTCCGGGCGGCCGCCGTGAGGGGTGAAAGGCGGCCGCGATGGCGGGCGCTGAGGCGGCGGCGCTGGACGCCCTGAAGCGGGGCGGCCCGGGAGCTGCCGAGGCGCTCTTCGAGACCTACACGACGGCGGAGCTGAGAGCCGTGGAGCGGCAGCTGCGGGCGGGCATCGAGGGGAAGCGGGAGGAGCTGCGGCAGATGGTGGGCGAGCGCTACCGGGACCTCATCGAGGCGGCCGACACCATCGCCGAGATGCGCCTCAGCGCCCAGCACCTCCTGGAGGCAGTGCAGGACCTGCAGCAGCGCCGGGCCCGGGGTCGCTCCGGGGCTCCCGCTCACCCTCCGGCCCAACGCGCCGCGGGCAGGCCGGCGCCCGAGGTGGGAGCCCAGGAGGGGACCGAGGGGGGGGGCCGCTGGAGGGGTCGGGTCGTCCTCCGGCCAACTTGTTCTGCCTCCGGCCACCCTCGAGCGGGGTTTCCCTCCCCGCTGGTGCTTCCCCTTTCCCTTCTGGCTGCAGGGGAAGCGCTTCACCTGTTGGATTCACACCTGCCCCTGCTTCCTGAGCACCGGTTTCTCGCCTCCTCTCCTCAGCGAGATAAAGGAGGCGAGGAAGGGAGTTGGGAACGAAAACAAGGGGGAGATCCTGCTGGTGTCCTTGGTTTTTGCTTTAGCAAATTACAGCAGTATAGTTACTGTATTCCTTTGGGAGAGGTTTCTCGAGTGTGTGAGCTTTTCTGTTGGTGGGGACTGAGGGGTATGTTTTGGAGCAATTACATCGGCTCCAAAATATCTGCCCCCCTGCCTAGTTGATCACTAGACTTTATTAGAGGCTTCCTGTCCATTAAAATGTATTCAAGAAGGAGAAAAAGCCACCCATCGTCAGGTGTGCTGAAATATTACGAGTGGGGAGGGAAGGATGCTCTTGCATTGTTGCAGCTAAAAAAGTGAGGTTTAGCCTGGTCAGCTTTTCCATGGATATTCCTTATCAGCTTCCCAGCAGAAGAGTGTAAATAAAGAGAGCTAATTTCTGCTAGGTGATGGTGATGTCCCTGCCAGTCTTATAAGTAGCTGTTCTTCATCCTAATTAAACAATACAGCCCTTGAGAGGTTTTCTTTCTTTCTTTCTTTCTTTCTTTCTTTCTTTCTTTCTTTCTTTCTTTCTTTCTTTCTTTCTTTCTTTCTTTCTTTCTTTCTTTCTTTCTTTCTTTGATAGGTAATGGTGGGGAAAATTAGATTGCTGTGTTTTTATGGTTTCGGACAGTACAGCATAGTTTCAGGAGCATGGGCAGAATCACAGATGCATGCTGCAAACCATTAATAGTCTCAAATGCTTTAAAGTCTCGTTCAGGTGGTATTTGCACTGAGGTTTTCATGAGCTGCACATGTTTCTCCAGTCGCAGGAGAGGTTCTACTGCTTGGCAGCGCAGATTCAGCTGCTGCTGCAGATTCCTGAGAAAATATGGAGCGCTATGGAATCCTCTCAGTATCTGTACGCTGCACAGTTGTACCTGCTGTGCTGCCACCTCCATGGCCTTCTGCAGTTGGATACTTCTGGTACTCGCTACAGTCCAATTCTGGCACGTTTCCCGATCCTTGCACGGCAAGTGGCAGCAGCCACCCATTTTCGGTAAGCAGCCCATTGATGCTCTCTCTCTCCCTCTTTATTCTTACTGCTCCTTCCTGTTGTTAACAAGCAAGTCTTCCTTCTGACCCAAAAGCTTGGGTTTGGAAATGGTAATGTGTTCATCTTAATTATGGTAGATAAAGATGGGACTGCAGTTGGAACACTTAAGCAGTTAGAAAGGAAGAAAGAAAGTGAAGTCCAGGGACTTTGAATCTGCTAACTCCCACAGTATTATGAGAACTTAATCTTTCAAGTTCCTTTTCAGCACTGGGAAGAATTTTGGACAAATGCTAAATAAATAAGTTGAAGAACCAGCAATGATGAGTTTGCACCTTTCAACCAGGAGTGCAGTTCTATGCTCTTTGACATAGTCCCAATGTTTTCCCATAGTTTAATTATGTAATTTACACCTTCTAATTGACAGTTAAACTATAACTGTTGCAATTTTGCATATAAGGAAGCAGAGCTCAAGAAATTAAGCAGCATTACTTGTTCTGTCCCACCGTTTGCTTTCCAGACTAAGGGCTTGGGGAAACATGTTGATAATTGGGTAGGTTGCTTAGGGATGTCAAAAACAGTTGCCCTGGTGTAGCAAGAGGAGTAAACTGGTAGCAAACAGATGACATTTTCCCCAGAGGAAAAGCCCAGCACTGTCCTTCTAGTTTGTTTTCCTTTCCCACCCTGTACAGAGCAGATCATTGCCTCTACACAGAGACTGATTGATCCTCTGCATGCACTTCTCCACATCCTGGTTAAGGCTTTTTGTCTTGGGCATTTCCTTGTCCTTAAGCATACTGTTACTATAATCAGACAAATTAACTCCCCCTGCTGTTGGATTTGAACATTTCACAGAAATATTTCTGGCCAACTTTCCTTTCCTTTTTGTTTCTTTTGGACAATCCAGTATTATGTATATACAGTACTTACTTATTTATGAAAACATTTTAATTACTCTCATGTTGATTATTAGAGCAGCTTGATAAGAATAACCAGCAATATTCCTGTAACAATACAGTACTGTATTTGATGAAGGTTTGGACCTACCGTAGCTAATGAAGTTATTTTGTTAATGTGCAGTATGAAACTTTTCTTATGGACCAAAGGGCTAACTTGGCTTTCGGGGTAACGTTTATTGAATGTAGGACTTCTGAAATTGTTATTCAGGCTGTCCATTATTCTTTCTGACTTTTGCTTTGAAGTTTAAAGTCGACCCTCTGCTGAGTATTGTACAACACTTCATTTTTCCTCAATTAGCTCCACTATCCTACAGGAGAGCAAATCACTACTGAAATGCCAGACTGTTTTGGACCAAGCAGTAGCAGAGGCCTTGTGCTCAGCCATGCTTCTTGAGGACAGTTCTCCACGGCAGGCTCTTGCAGACTTCCTGTTGGCCAGGAAATCTGCCGTTCAGCAGCTCCTGAATCAGCCTCATCATGGTTAGTGCAGCTATGATGCAAACGCTGTGCACTCTTTCTCTTTCTCCAAAACTTATTTTCCACAGAAACTAAGCTAATATCGTTTTGGCCCATTTTGCAGGTTTTCTTCCACATTGAATAAATTGCAAGCATATTAGCATTGGAGATGCCAATGTTCCTTTACTAAAACAGAGGCAGGTGGAGGATTTAAAGCAACAACTTACTTTATGTATGTGTTGCAGAGACTGTTCTGTTTCATAACCATAATGATGCACATGTATTTCTCATTCTGAAGTAAGGCACTTCCAGTTCTCATGGCTAGAAATCATAACTAATTGGGCTAAATCTAGATGTTGACTGGTGGACATTGCGATACAGAGTTGTAGGCTCATTTTGTACAGCATTGTCGTAAAGCACATTTTCTTAATCATGTGCCTTATCTAGCATTCCCCATGCTGCCAACCCTTGAATGTTGAGGGGGGTGGTGGAAGTATATTAATTGTAAAATGTTCTTCCTTACTGGTCTGTGAACACATTTTTTCCTGGGAGGGCACCTGCCTTTGAAGGCAAGTGTCCTCAGTTGATTAAATAAGATGTATATATGGTTGCTATTGTTCACTGGCTAACTTTTTTTTTTTACAAAAATCAACAGATGCTGGCATTAAAGTACAAATTTGCTCCTTGATGGATCTTCTTGCCACAACTTTATATCAAGCTCATGCTCTCTTCTATACCCCACCGGAGGGAACACCTGCAGACCCGTCCCTTCCCTGTGGATTGCTGTTCTCAACACTGGAGACCATCACAAACCCTCACCCAGCAGGTGAACAACAGGGCTGGACAGGTCTTTGCCAATCAGCATGTCTTCTCTGTTTAGGACCTAATTTGATTTTCAGTGATCTGATTCCTCTCCTTAACTACACAATTCTCTAAGGTAAAGGCATCACAGTTTTGAATGAAGAAACCAGGCTGAGCAGCTCATTCAAATACCTGCCGTCTTCCATCACAGAATTCCAGCCAACACTCAGAACTTTGGCCCATCCCATTAGCCAGGATTACCTGAAAGATACACTTCAGCAATGGATCAACATGTGAGTTTGTAAGGAGCATACGTGGGTGGAGGAAGATGCCTTCATGACCCAGTGACCACATGGTATCTCATAATCTTGTATCTCTCACTGGGTGATTATTGTTGTGGTTGTTATGAATGACCTTTTGAATCTGCAAATTGAATGAGATATGGAAAAAGAAGCAGATTGCAGAAATGGATATATGTGTTTTCTAACATCTGAACTATTTTGAGTCTGGTCCTGTGTCAACCATATCATAAATATTGCTATTTCCAGATATCTTGAGGTTGTCATATATGGTGGTCTGTTCCAGTGGACAGATAGATCTACATGTGGCCCAAATCTAGATGTTAGTTGCAGCTAAAGTAGAATGAATCAGTTGTTGAATGTCAGAAGCTATATAAATCTGCTAGAGCAGATTTTGAATTGACTCTAATTGGGACTAGCAGTTGGAATTAGGCCATTATATCCTAATTTTCTTTGGCTACAAGATATGATTAAACTAAGTTTGAATGACTTTTTCATTTAGCATTTCTGTATTAATTTTTATAAAACATTTAGTCAACATACAAGAGGAGAAACATCCTAGACTATGCAATAGTTTGAAAATGAAACAAGTCAGCCATGATCCTGAACTGTAGATATCTAGTGGAATGGAACAGATAAAGAGATGGGGGCACACACACATGTTTGTAAAAAGTGTCATAAATCAATAATGTCTGTTCCTGTCAGTGTTTGTGAGGAAGGCTGTTCCCACAAGGAGAATTTTACAACAGAGAAGGCACAGTTGGGCAGTCCCTCTCAACCAATTAAGAATGATGTAGTAGAAGAGGAAAGGAAAAGATGCTTGTTTCGGTATCCTTGTCCTAAATTATTCAAACCTTATTGTTTGAAACCAAAACATGGTTCAGAAACTAACTGGCACGTAGTCTACTTGATGACACTATACTCCAGATATTTTAATGAGCACTCCCATCTAGATGTTAACTAGTATTAGGGACCACAGAGATGCCTCCAGCCCAACCACTATGGAACTGAGGTATAGTTACCAATCCCATTCGCTTGAAATGATCCTGTAACATGGATTGGAACCATTGTAAAACAAAGATTGGAGCCCAGTTCCCAACAGACAGAGCTTGTCAAAGAAAGTACTATGATCACTGGTATCAGCAACCACTGGGAGGTACAGTAAAAGAAGCAGGATTGTTCCTGTCTTACTCTGCTAGCAAAAGTCATCTAGCAGTGCAACCACTACTGATTCAATTGTGAGACCTAGCTTGAATTACGCAGCTGCCACCCATTCACCTACCAGCATTTCTTTCAGGTGCAAGGAAGATATTAGGTCTGGCATCACAAACCTGCTAGTGTATGTGAAGAGCCTTAAAGGGCTGGCTGGGATCCGTGATGCCGTGTGGGAGCTGCTCACCAGTGAGTCGATAAGTCAGAATTGGGAGATGATATGTGGCCGGTTGCTTGACAAGCCCATCTCTTTCTGGGACGATCTTTTACAGCAGCTCTTCTTGGACAGATTGCAGGTAACATATTGACAGAGGTTGGCTAAATAGTTGTAAGGCTAACAGGTTCAGCCAGAAAATATTATGTGCAATAGAAATGAGTTTAGACAGTAGCTCTTCCCAAGTGGGCTCATAACATAGTGGTTGGGGATACGTTGAGAAATTTTCTTCTCTGGTTTCATGCATGTTTAATCACTATTCAAACAGAGCTTTGATCATAAGATGTCTGTCATTTAATTCTAATTATGAACAGCGGAAAGTGAGGCCATTCAAAGCAAAACCAGCTCCTCCTTTCTTTGTTTCCTCATTGTTTCCCTTGCCATTCTGGGTAAACAGTTTTTTTCCATCCTTTATCACACTTTATATTCAGATTTGCTTCACTGCCTGTTCCTCAGAGGTGGAAATGTTATTAGTTGTAGATGTAGTAGCAAGAGACATTTTCCATTAATTGACATTGCAATCATCCTTTAGTTTTTCACAACTAGAAAGTTATAAGATAGCTATGCCTGTCTATATCTTACCAGTCTAGATCTTAAAATCATTTGTATGCTTTTGTTTGGTACTGTTTTCTTTGTGTGTTTGTGTGTTTTTTTTTCTTTCTCTCTCTTTCTCTCTTTCTCTCTCTCTCTCTCTCTATATATATATATATCTCCTTTTTTCATGTTTTTTTCAGACTTTGACAAAGGAAGGATTTGATGACATCTCCAGCAACTCCAGAGAGCTACTTGTTTTGGCCATACAGGAGCTGGAAGCAAAATTTGACCCCTCTGCCCATAATAAGAACATTTTGTTTGAACATAATATGGCTTCTTTCTTATGGTCAGAGAATCCTAATGACTTGCTGCCTGACGCTGCCTGGATCAGTGTGGCAAACCGCAGTCAGTTCACTAAGAGTGGGCTGTCCATGAAGGCTCAGGCCCACAGCCCAGGGGTTCAAAGTTTCTGTGCTGCTCTGGATTCAAAGTTAAAGGCTAAGTTGGATGACCTTCTATCCTACTTACCTTCAGACTCATCTTTAGCTAAGGACAGTACCCCTGCCCACTTCAGGAACTCTGCCTTTGATAGATTTGCTGATGCTGGCACAGTAGAGGAGCTTTTGCGCAGCCACTGCATCCGTTGTGTGAACTGTGTGCTAGTCTGTGTTAGAGAGGAACTGCAGCGTGCTCAGGATGTGCTCCAAGGATGCACGGATGCTTTGCACAACCCCAAAATCAACACTGTTCTCTTCATGGCACGGCTCTGCAGGTCACTGGGGGAGTTGTGCCCACACTTGAAGCAGTGCATTCTGGGAAAATCAGGTTGTCTAGAGAATGTGACAAGAGAGCCTTGGTCTTTGAAAAAAGTGGGGAAAGGGAAAATTCAGGAGAAGAACCCTGTCAAGGCTAAATGGCAAGAATTAAAAGAACAGCTGCTGCAGGAGAGCCTGGCTGCCTATCGGATTTGGAGCACAGCTGTTGCTAAAGTGAGTGTCATTTATTTATTTTGGAACGTGGAGTGGAGAGACCCCCTTCCTATTATGGCTTGCCTGAACCATTTGCTATATTCAGCTGAAGGTGCCGCCCATCAGTACTAGAAGCACAAATCCTCCTTTGTGTCTGAGAATCTTCTGCTTATATACTTGAAATGTCCTGCAATTTGTAGTAGGGCAGAAGAATGTGTAGAAGGTCCGCAGGGAGGCGTTGAGGATACATTACTGTTTCCACTTGCTCTCTCCAGGGCAACTGCTGGAATACAAACAAGAAAGTTGGGGTTGATTGCACCCAACGGCTCTATCCTTTCTCCTGTATCTGTATTTGAGTCCCTGTGAGCAAATTGTTTGATAGTGATTTTTTTTGCTTTGTTTTTAATTGAAAAACTCATTCTATTAAAATTAAATAATGTGTATTTATTTATTGGATTTCTATCCCGCCCATCTAGACCAAAGGTCTACTCTGGGCAGTAATAAGCAGGCCATGATGTCTATAGCAAATGTTAGTTTTTTATATATGTCACACCTAAATAGTAGTGTGGTTTACAATGATGGCTATGCCAGGACAACTTCTTAGGGTTGAATCAAAGATCAATTGTGCCATTGTCCTGTTCTTCTCTGTATCGAAACCTAGGTCCTCGTTCATAATTTCACAGAGTCATTGCTGAAGGATGAAGCTGGGTCCATTCTAGCAACAGCCACTAACTGGGAGGAAATTGAAATTGAAGAAGAATCTGAGACTGGAAGCAGTGTGAAGTCAAAGATACGGCTACCTGTCCAGGTGAGATGGAAGGAGAAATGTGGACTCCAGTAATGCAAGCTTACTTGTTATGAACAATGATCACTCTGTACAGTAGGTCTGCGTGATCAGTACCCACAGTTTCGCTCATCCGCTGGCTGTAAATATTAAAGAGAGCCTCCCAGAAATGTTTGTTTCCAAGGTGTACTAGCAGAATTGGCTACTAGAGGGAAACAGACTATGCTATATATAGCATTTCTATACCTGGGTTTTTTGACAGTTGTGGGGTGTGATGGGCTTGGGACCCCAGCAGATACCACAGCGCTGCTTTGTAATACCGTCAGTCTGTGTGTAAGAAAGTGGAAGCTGACATCCAAAACAGACCAGCTGCATTGGTGAGCCTTGGGCCCAGGTTTCACCAATAGTATGGTTGAGAATGCAGAATTTCATGAAAGGTACAGTGTGGTCTGAGGGCCATTTGGACTTGAGTAAGAAGAAAAGGCAGTAGTTAAATTCCGTGTCAGCCTCCAACTCCAAGTGGATTGTGAACATAGGAGCTGTATTTTGTTTGTCATTCTCCTTACTCATTTCCAAATGACCTTCCTCCTGTCCCTGTTAAAATAGGTTTTGAAGTGAGCTTTGTACAAATTAAGAATTTTCTAGTATATTTAATGCTAAGTTGGATTGTTGGAGCTTAGAAATGTATAAATTTTGACTGGGAAATGTGAGACATATGTTAGATATGGACATGCAGCATTATCAGTATTATTAGAGCTTCTTTATACAGATGATAGGCAGTATAATTACCAAGAGATGTACGGGGCTGACTACATAAACAAATCTCTTCCTTAATACAACACGTGATGTTTCCTACTGTTGCTTTGTGGCATTTTTCACAGCCATCCTGGTGCGTCCAGTTCCTCCTCTTCGGTTTGTGCCAAGAAGTCAATCGAGTTGGAGGCCAAACCCTTCCCAAGGTCACCTTGCAAGAACTGCTGAAGACTTGTATGACTGAAGTACTAGCTGGTTATGAAAAATTCTCAGACAGGAAACATGACAAGGTGTGTGGTTGAGTTCTGTGAATTAGCGACACTGTTGGACCAGGTTGTTTGAGGACTACAGAAGCTTGTGTAATCTTGCTATTATGAAGCCTTCCTTCTCTGATGGAAAATGATGTGACAGGGTTAGACAAACCTAAAATTGTGTTTCTTGCAAAATGTAGTAAGTCGCTTCCAATTCTTTGAAAAAGTGCATGTGTGTGAATGCAGATCCAGGTATGTGGCTGGAACTACTTTTCATGGATTTACAGTGGCTGCCAATCCACAGAACTGTTTTATTGAATTTGTATATCACCAGTTGTTTTTGGAGGTCAGGACAGTGTAAGGCAGTCTGACAGCGAAGTGCTTATCAACCCCAGACCACTTTTGCCTCATCCAGACGGTGGCATCTTTTGTTTTCAGGTGGTTCCCTGGTTATTTTAATCTTCGAACAAGGCAAAATAATATATAGCTGGAACTCTCTCGCTCCACTTTCCGACCTCCCATTGTCTTCAGAAGACAATAGCATCCTATGTTAGTAATCAGAAGAGTATATCTTAGGGTGCAGATGTGTTTCCATGAGGTGAATCCATATTGCTGGTGAGTGTGCCTACTCAGGGTTGGGCCGAATGATCTGGAGCCCCTTCCTCAGCTGCTGTTGCAGCCTTCAGGGCTCCCAACACCCTCTTTTTACCAGCAGAAAGGTGTGTCTTGCTTCCGAGAGTAACAGTTCACATTTTAAACAGGTGACAAGGGCCCTTTGTACCATTTAACACAAAAAGCAAATTTAAAAAAATGGAAGTGGATGTCTTACATATCGTCATTTATTTTTTTCCCTCCCATCTTTCTTCCAGAAAGAATCCAGTATTTTTTCCTGCCTAGTCACTTCCTATTTATGGAGGGGGGTTGGGAGCATTTTTGGTTGTCTGCGCAGCCTCCAAATGGTTTCAGAGACAGAAAACTGGCCCGATTTCCCAGTTGCCCACTCTGATCTAAATGACTACATGACTAAGTCCCCCTTTCTCCACCTAATTTGTACTTTTAATGGGTGAAAACCCCATGGGGAAAAACAGTTTGTTAATACTATTTAGACAGAGCCACATGAGTTTGTATTGGAGGCTCACACAGAACTGGTTCCCAGTGAGGTCATAGTTACATCTGAAGGCTGTATAAATTCACTAAATTAACCATAATTACATTAATGAGAAAGAAGATACACTGCTACTGAACAGCTAACTTCATTTTAATAAATTCAAAACAGCAGCAGCCTAATAAACCTTTTTCATTTTGCCAGGGAAACACATCTCATTCTTAGTGTAACCTTGTTGAGGCATTTGTTTGAATATTTGAGGGATCGAGGTGGATAGATGGGCCTTGTATGTTGGCCATTCCCCTTATATCCCTAGAACGGTAACCTAAGATTCCTGAGCTCACCCTTTCCAACCTCTGTGTTGAACAGAGGTCTAAAGGAGTAGTCCCTTTACTTTGACTTGAATGTGGATATGATGTTCCACAACATGGGGGAATCCTGTTCTACCAGCGACCATTAAAAACATGTCCCTTCTGACCTCGTCAAATGTATGGATTAGGGTCCTGTCCCACAACCTACTTAAAGGACAGGGCTTGCGACTTAAGACTAGAGAGGCTATAGACATCTCCAGCTTCTGTTCAGGTTCCTTTCAGAAATATTCAGCCAGTACAAATAATTTCATGATAAAATGTCCATGGCCCATTAGATAAATAATGTGTTAAGTCAAATCACAAGATCTAGGTGAATAGCAGGCACCTCATAGCCACCTATATGAGTTGCGAACCTCATCTTCCCTCACTGTTGGTTAGAACGAAAGGGAGTTGGCAGTCCAGTCTGGAGAAACACAAGTTGCCCACACTGATCTAGATCAAAATGTCTTAATAAAACTTTCTCCTATCCTAAATGTGTGGGAAGGATTGGCAAACCAGACATTTACATAGGAGTAACTCTGTTCATAGGCATTTTTCTTTCTCTACCTCCTTGCAGAAAGAAGGGAAGCTACCAATCACTCAGAACAGAGCTTTGCAACTTCTGTATGATCTTCGGTATCTAAATATAATCTTAACAACCAAGAGCGAAGATATGAAAAGCAGCAGAAACAAGCAAGACTCCAGGTGCAGTACCCAGATTTATGTTCAATTGATGAAGTGTAATTCCAACTGCAAAAATTATTTGAGTTTCACTTGTCCTGCAGCATCATGTCATCATGCAGTTTAACCATGAGTTTCAGGCAAGATTAGAAAAATAATCCAAGCATCTGGGCTGGTTGTGCACACCTAGCTGTTAATGATGTCAGCTTGTTTTGCCAGCCCTCTTTGCAGCTAGAGTAAAAGTGGATATAATCAAAGGGTTAACCACACTGAACCCTACTAGTGGATGTTGCATACTATTCTGATACAGACCAGCCCATCAGATTGTGTAGTTTGAACAGGGATACAAGCAAGTGAGCCTGGCTGGAAATAGTCCATACCATTGTTGGTAGGGGTTATTGATCATTCAAGATGACTTGCTTCACAACAGCAATAATCATGAATAGTAAAATGTCTGTTAGGTATATAGTTGTCTCTTTAATAAGAGCCATTTAACAGAAATGTCTATTGCCCTGACAGTAATGACACACACATGCTATATAACTGATTAGCTTGTGCTTGCCCCATCTGTCTCAGGAGATTGTAAGTGGATGCCAGTTCTAGAAACATGGGAAGTGTCAGTAATCTAAGAAAGGGGCCACATGAAGACAAAACAGTGCATCTTCTTTTAAATGGCAGAATACATCTGACTCCCCGAGCTAAACTTTTGGCTAATACAAAATTGATTTAATAGTAACTGGAGACTAGAGAAACCGTAAATATCTAAACTTCTAACTGAATTAAGGAACTGGCCATTAGTTGCTTAGCTCAGTTCAAGGTTCTCTTTTGTGCATCACTCCATTACAGTGGACCCTCGACTTAAGACTTTTTGAGTTACAGACTCTGGCCACAAAATTTAGGTTATCGACTTGCAGCCAGAGAATCGACTTACAGACCAGAAAAAAACCAAAATGGAACAAAAATGAAACAAAAACGGCCAGTTTCGGGATTAATCTGTTTTCAATGCATTGTAGGTCAATGGAGACTTGACCTACAGACTTTTTGACCTGCAGCCACCATTCCAATACAGATTAATTCCGTAAGTAGAGGGTCCACTGTACATAGCAAACTTAAGTTCCATTATTAGGTTTTTTTAAAATTTATACTGCTTTGGATACCATTCACCACTTCTAAATGGAAAATCAAAGTTTGGACATATTACTGCCTGGTTTTGAACATCACAAACAAGATAGTTTTTTTTTTCTTTCCAGGATTGAGAAACAGGCAGACTTTTTGGAGAGTTATATTGATCCCTTCGATCTGGATGTCTTTACTCCACACCTGAATAGCAACCTCAATCGGCTGGTGCAACGAACCTCTGTAAGTTAAGATCTTGTTGAGCTAGAATGTGTTACAGAGTATGGTTGGATACTGTGGGTCTTCTAAACCAGGGGTCCCCAACCCCCGGTCCGCGGCCCATTACTGGTCTGTGGCCATTGCAGGACTGGGCCGTGGAGAGATATCTCCCGCCCCCCTGCACGCACTCCCCCAACGCACAGGTTCCCCACCCCTCTGCAAGCTCGCTCCACCCACCCAACCAGTCCGTGGTTCCCAAAAGATTGGGGACCACTGTTTAAACCAGTTTGTATAACCAGCACAATTTAAACATGAATGAAGGGGGAAAGAATAGTAAGTACGAGAGTGTACCATGCTTTGATGAATCAGGGCATTACTTTTCTGTTATTTGCAGTGTTCATATTAGAATCAGCATCTTTCAACAGCCATAACTTAGACTATATGGAACCTGGTGTCTGAAGTTCATATTGTGTGATTACTTGAAAGCCAAAGTGATATACCTTATTATGTTAACCTGAAATCAGAGCATATTTTGTGTTCATGTTCACTCCTGTACTGCTTTTTAATCTAATATGACTGAATATTTCATGGTTGAATCTTCTACACTTAAGGCAAGGCAGCTGCCCTTTTCTTCATTCTAGGTCCTGTTTGGCTTATTAACAGGGGCAGAGAATCAGTACGGCAGCCGAAGCAGTGCTCTGACCTCTCAAGAACAACATAACATCCTACCTCTGACATCTAGTCAGATCAGGTAAGTGAGCTGAACTATAGGCAGCAGGAATTAGTGTGGAAACAAAGCATTTAAGCATCTTATCACTTATGTTTTCCTTTTAAGATTTGGACTCTTGCCACTCAGTATGTCAAGCTCTCGCAAGACAAAATCATCTTTGCGAAGTACTGAACATACAGCTCAGGTTGGTCCTTTCAATTTGTCTTAATATTTATTGGAACAATATTTTTTAAGGGCTGTACAATCCTGGTGAGCCAAGGGGGGTTGTTAAAATTAGGTACCTGTAGGTACTGTTTTGAAGTACCTTCTACAGTAGAATGAAAACCTTTTATAGTAGAATGAAGAGTGAACTAGTAACCACAGGAAGTAGCTTAATAAATATCAGGTTGATTTTCACACAAATTACTAGGAACATGCATATTAGTACAAACACAGGTTCACAGCTGTGTGTTTAGTTTCAGTTTATCTCTAAAGCTACTAGGAAGGAGTGCTTGGCTAATTCTATCTTATACCCTTCATTCTAGCACGATGCTGACGAGTAGCCATTGAAGAAAGCTTTGCTGGGGTATTAAAGCATGAGTGAACTGTGTGGCTTCCCCTTGAGTAGGCTTCTCTTTTAGTTTTGCATTTGTAGAAACTGTTGCTCTGAAACCAGTGTTTTCTGTGGCCCATAGAACTTGGTAGCTTCTTGCAAACTACCAAGTTATTAGAAAAGCAACATACCTAGCAGCTACCGGTAGCATGGGTTATACTTTGTGATGCTGTGGAACCAGTGCTCCGTGCAAGGTGCCAAAGGACAATACAGACAAAAAGGACATCCTTCGATGTATGTGAAATTCTCCGGCCTTTTTAAAAGCACTATACTAGTGTGCTGGTGGCCTCTGTACTTTCTGTATGCTTCTCATGTTCTGCTTTTACAAATATAATTTCTCTGCCTCACTGAATTCCATTTTTCACCCACCAATTAGTTTAATTTAAGTAGAGAAGCAGGAGTCTTTTTTTCTGTGGCTATGGTGCAGTGTGCTTATAATAAAAAGTACATTAGTTACGAGTAAGGTGCTGGCTCCCAGTAATAGTGGAGTAAAACCACCCAACCCAGTAAACATTTCAAAGGGAAAGCTTTTGAATGTCTTTGCTGAAGATGAAAAAAAAGCATCAACTGTAGAGCTGAAAGGGATCTTAAGGGTCATTACGTCCAATCCACTGTTCACGCATGAAATCCAGATCAAAGGCATGCCTGGAAGATGGTCAATCTAACTTCTATTTAGAAAATGCAGGTGAAGGGCAGTCCACCACCACTTAAGTGATTTAACTCTGCATGACTTTGAAGCCAGCATTTTTATTTACTGTTGCTTCCCCTTTTATGGAAGGTGGTTTATGCATTCTAGGCTTTAGAGAAAACTCTTGAAGCATTGGTCTATAAAGCTCACCAGGGTTAGACTGCTTTCATGCATAAAAATCCTTTTCAAGTGTGACTTTTTCTTTCTGGCCAGCATGATCTAACACCATTTCCCCTGCTTTCTCTATACAACATAGAGAACTCGGGGAAATATTGACAACTCTGATTTAATGCAGGTTATTTCTAGTGGCAGTGCATTTGTGGACTTCTAGCTTTGAGTATCTACTAGTTAACCTCATAGAACAATCATTAAAAAGAATCAAACATAGGAGAGAACCTACTTGCTGACACTTTTTTTGGTTACAATTAATAGGCTCCAGCCCCAACTTTTATGAGAGGAGATGAAGCATTCCGCCCTGGATCCCTGTTCAGACAACTTGCAGCAGAGGAGGAAGACACAGCAGCACCATCGTTGTTTAAACTTGGCTGGCTCTCAAGCATGACTAAATGATCTAATAAAAAGTGAACAAGTATATTTGGGGCACTTCAGAAACAAAAAGCTTCCAGGGATCATGTTTCATTATCCCAAGTTTAGTTTTAAGCACCAAATTAGTACCGGGTGATTATTTCAAGATACAGACCTCACTGTTTAGGGACCATGAATTTAACAGAACATGTAAATAGCTTGTATGTATTCAGAAAAAGTCAATCCAATTCGATATATGGACTACTGAATACAGTAAGGTTTACACTCATAACTTCAATAAAACCCTTTCCAATTCTAGAGATTCTCACTAGTAGTATTTTCAAACAGCTTTAATTCACATGAACATTCAGCCTCTGGAAAGGTTAATTTACCATAAAAACATATCCACTATTTATTGAAATTAAAAAAGACTTATAAAACTGAACACAAATGTTTGAAGGGATCTTACATAAAGCATCAGTTACTAATGAACAGATTAAGAAGTTAAACTGTACTCATTATGCACTCCTATAATACAGAGGTGGATTCTTAAACCCATTGTGACATGTCAAAGATATCCACCTTCCACCCCCCAAAAAAGAATCCTATAAAAATTGCTCCAAAGCCCCTTTTGCATTGCAATAGTGCAGCAAACCACAAGTAAACAATTGCCTGTTAACCTGTTATTCCAAATACAGACTGAAAAGGCAACAGGCATTTTGTGCAATTTTAACAAACTTTTAAGTTGAAATATCTCATCACACAGTGCTGTCCCCCTTCACAGAAGGCAGGGAACTGCCCGGCTCATCATGTTGGAGGACGGCCCCTGCTCTGTAAGCTATGGAAGTGCGCCTCCTTCAGGATCTGGTTGATGTGGAAGTAGGGACCTTGGCATAGTGCAGACTGCTCATGGAAAGACTGAGGAGGTGTCACAGGACTTGATCCAGGCATTATCTGGTGTAAGCTGGTTTCTGGCCCACTAGCTCTGTCAGGGCTGCTTATGCTGCTGCTGCTGCAGCAACTACTGGTGCTTCCACTCTCACTGCTGGAGGACTACAGAACAAAAGATTGAGGAGAATATAGGTCATTTGAGCTTTAATCCAATATTGTCTATACATCACAAACAGTCATTTTTCTCCCTTCTGGCCCCCAAACCGTTTACTGTTACTCGGACATTGCCTATTCAGCTATGTCAATAGCTATAAGCACATGAAACCAACAATATTTTGCTGCTAAAATTTTGGATACACAAAAAAGCCACATCTGAATGGTCAAACTGACCTCAACATACGCTCAAAAGCTTTGACTAGGTCATAGCATTTCAGTTTTATTAAACTTATGCACACCTGGTAATTTTCAGTAGCATTCTCAAAATTGAACTAAAACAAAAATTCAGTCTGGTGATTTGTTTCATTTCTATGCTACCTTCCTCCCAAATAAGAGACCTAAGGCAGCTCATCTACAGCTGCTATGTCAAATTTTGCCCATCTGCAATCCATTCTACATTGTAAAAAAAGTGGGGAAAGACCAGAACATAGCTTCAAAGCTTTCAAGTATTATGTTTGTGCCACTCTACTAACAAAAGCCAATGATACCACTTATAGAACTGATGTTAAATAATGGGTGTCATCTGCATACAGCACACTCTTTGGGGAGGAAAGCTTTATTTCACCACAGAATATTAACTGTATATCACAGCTTGGACCGTGCATCTCTACACTCTCATCCCTATTATTTTCTCAGCCTGCTTCATGCATCTAAAGAAATTAAGGTTTACTGTAGTTTTGGTTGTATAAACTGCCCTTTAGATTTTCCTGCTACAAACTGGCACAGATGTATATCACATTTCTGAAAAATCATCACGTGCTTTACACACATTAGGTTACATAATAGAACATCAGAAAACTGGATACTAATTGCAGTGTTTCAAGTACCTCTAAACTAATGTTCACTTGTAGTATGCAGCCCTGTGCAGTGTTAACACAAAAATGTACATTGCATCTGCACATATAATAGGATGTAAGAACTATGTTTCCGTGTTGCAGAGAGGCACTAACGAACTAAAAATAGCCAAGTTTCTTAGTGCAACCTTGCGGGAGATAACACATTTTAAGTGTTTTCAGGGGTTGTGGGCAGGAAAAGAAAAAAGATTGAAACAATGTATTAATATAATATTTTTGTTAAAAAACGTTTTGTACATAGGAGCTAACAGTTCTTAAGTTTGGGACCTCAATTTTAGGGTATTTCACGAGCTTATATATTATTTTGGTTTATCTTTCCTAGTACTCAGTCTACTAGCCATCATACTGAAATTATGCCTGGACCCCCCGCCCCCAAACGACATGATGTAATGCTGGAAATTCTTAGAAGCTCTAACAAAATCTCTAGGATTTGCTTTCAATACTTTAAATGAAAATTCTGGTTTTTAGAGTGGCAACCCTTCCTACTGCCATCTGCAACTTTTCTGTAGACAAAGTCAAGCCCTTACCTCTCTCTCTCTCTTCTCTGAAAGTGCATACTTACACTGGAAGTACTGTATTTTTCCATGTATATACCCTCCCAATGTATAAAAGGACCCCCTAATTTTGACCCTTGATGGAGGTGGAGGAGCAGTTAATGGGCTCCTGCTACTGCCGCTGTCCGCCGAATCACCTCCTCCAGTGGGACTGCCGGGGCTCACCTCCAGCTCACCTCGCAGCCTTGTCCTCTGCTCTAAGGAGATGATCGCTGGAGGAGGTGATCTGGCAGAAGAGACACTTGAGTGCACATGAGAGCTTGTTTTCGCTGCCTTCGCCACCGGAGGGGGCAAGGCTCATCACTCCCACTGGAGGTGATCGGGCAGGCGGGGGAGGCAGCAGCAAGAGCCGCCCGAGCACATGTGAATGCTCCTTTGCTTCCATCTCTGCTTCCTCCTGCTACTTTGGCCACTGGAGGGAACAAGTTGTGAGGCAGCAGCGGCAGCAAGAGGCGCCGGAGCATGCATGTAACTGACTCCGTGTATAAAATGGCCCTCAATTTTTCCTCTAATTATTTTAGCAAAGTGTTGTTTTATACACGGAAAAATACATTATGAGGCAGTCCCAGCTGTTCTGCTCCACTCCCTTGACATGGAAATTGTAAGTGGACTCTGATGTTTAGGCAACGGCCAAAAGATGACATAAAATGCTGCCTGAATATTCCTGGAACTACATGACACCACATTATTTCTATTGCTGGTGCAATTCTTGAACACAACTGTATTTTAAGACTCCAATAAATTGTTTTGGGAACTATGGGTTATGGAGTCTTAAATCAGTTATCATTAGCCAAAGGGCCATTTCAATGGGGTGAACAAAATGGAACAAAAATAACCCAGAATAACATGAAATACAGTGGTGCCTCGCTTAGCGAGGTTAATCCGTTCCGGATTAACCCTCGCTCAGCGAATCCATCGCTAAGTGAAACAAAAAAGCCCATAGGAACGTATTAAAACTGATTTAATACGTTCCTATGGACTTAAAACTCACCGTTGTGCGAGTTTCCTCCATTGCGGTGGCCATTTTGGATGCCTCGTTAGCGAGGCAAAACAGCGGTCGCCATTTTGTTTTAGCGGTGGCCATTTTGGAACCGCCGATCAGCTGTTCACTATGCTTTGATCGTGTCCGCGCGATCATCGCATAGCGAAAAAAGCCCATAGGGGCCATCGCTGAGCGAACGCTCCAGCGATGGCCTGGGACCCTTCGTTATGCGGTTTCATCGCATAGCGAAGCGTTCGCTATGCGAGGCACCACTGTATTCTGCCTTTGAATCACTTTTGAACTGTAATGGGATGAAAAATTGTGATTCTCCAGGTGTTCTTTGTCTACATTCCCCTCATTGCTCACCAATACCTGATGTAAGATACTGTCTAGTATCACCTGGAAGACTGCAATTGCCCATCCTCTAACTGCTATAACGGTGGTTCCCAACCTTGATTAACCCAGGTGTTCTTGAACTGCAACTCACAGAAGCTTTCATCACCAGCTGTGCTGGGTGGGGTTTCTGGGAGTTGCAGTCCAAGAACACCTGGGTTATCCAAGGTTGGGAACCACTGTGCTGTAACAACAAACACAGCAAGAAGCCTTTAAAATGTACAATTAGGAGCTATTAAAATCACTAATAGAATTACAAAATTTCTGGCAGGTACAACAAGGTGATATATACAGGCAATACAGATTTATCTTCAATTACCTACTCAGTGTTCTGCCTGAAAGAAAAAGGAGAATGCAGGATAGACTATTTCTCCTTTGGTCTGCATGCTACAGACAGAGTAATAAGAAAGACCCAAGATCTCCACCCTAATTACAACTAAAGCCATATCTTCATTCTGCCAAAGGGATGCTAATTATCTTCTTTCACAGTTGTAAGGAATTAGAAGGCATATGGGACTTGTAGTCATGCAAGGATGGAGTCTGTTAAGTTTTCTGAATACTGTAGTCTGGATTTAAACTACTGAATGTTCTCATGGGATTGTGTTCCAAGTTGCTCTGCCTTGCACCAAGATAAGGAACAAGGTTATCTTATTTTCTTAATAAAACAAATATAATTCTTGAACAGCAGCACTGCACCTAAATCCAGTGTGGAGTGCAAAGGCCACTAATTGCTACTGTAACAGAGAGGTCCTACCCAGTCTGTCTGCTGTTCTGTCTAAGGAAGCACACAGTCAATGGTTTATTGCCTTGTAAGCAGGCAAAACTTTTAATTTTAGGTTGAGCTTGTCCACAGGGCAAGGACTGTGCACTTCTGAGGCTAAAAGGACCTGTTTCAGGCATAAAAGTGGCGGTCGCTTGTGCTTACAGTGACTCCTCGCCCAAGACACTATTTCTTTATGGAGAAGTGGTTCTGACAATGGTAAGCTCTGAGACGCTGAGGTGTAAAAACAGGATGCAAGTATTTCAGACAAGATAAATGCACAGCTTGCATTTAAATGTCTTGTATAAATAACCATGGTTTATGAATGCACTTTGAAAGCAAGAGTGATTTTACTCTTGGTGTAATGAAATTGTAGCTGATCATCCTTCCTTATAAAAATGCTTCAATTAAAGAGGTAGAACATTAAACAAAGTGGCTGAACTGATAACATGCTATTATATTTGATCCAGATCTACACATAGATATTATATTGAACAGTTCACCGTGTACAGATAAACAACACAAAATCAGGTCAACACTGAATCTGAGTCATCTTACCTCTGTATCCCAGGAATCCTGAAAAACAGCATTTCGGCTGTTCCGTTTTGTTTGTGGGATGGGCCCATCCTCCTCTGTGCCATTTCGCCTCCTCTTCCTAAAGAAAAAAAGAGCAGAATAAAAGTAGTTGCTTAGCTACCATAACTTTAATGTTTTTTGCTCCATAAGAGGCACTTCCCCCCCAAAAGTGGGGGGGGGGGGGTCTGTGCGTCTTATGGAGCGAAGGGGGCGATTTTGCCTGCGCTGGCCCCGTGGGCGGGGGGGCAGCGTCACAAGGGTCCGAGTAAGCCTTCCAGGACACTTGTAATGTTCCCCCCACTGCCCCCATGGGCCCAGCGGAACACACCCTAGCCCCCTCTGGCCCTGTGAGGGTGGGGAAGCCTCCAAAGGGCCCTAGGGTGTGTTCCAGGACCCTTTGGAGGCTCACCCTGCCCCCCTATGGAGCCAGAGGGGACGAAATTGCCACCTTCAGCGACTCTTCTGAAACTTCCCAAGCCTCAAAAGAGTCCCAGAAGGTGGTGATTTTGCCCGCGCTGGCCTCACGGGGGAGCCTCCCAAGGGTCCAAGTCTGCCTTCCAGAACCCTTGGGAGGCTCCCCCCACTGGGCCAGCGTGGGTGAAATTGCCACCTTCTGGGATTCTTTTGAGGCTTGGGAATCTTCAGAAGAGTCCATGAAGGTGGTGATTTCACCGCCTCTGGCTCCATGGGGGGGGGGGGGGGGGGGGGGCGCGAAAGGGGCCGG